GATTCATGCATTTTTTACAACTTTACACAAGTGTGCAAAATTTCAGATCGATTGGAGAGGTAGAAGTGTGTTAAATATCGATTATAAGATTTGTAGCAGACAGACAAACAAACAAACAAGAAGTGAAGTTAAAGATAAGTCTTACATATAATGAGTCATTAGCGGACCAAAAAATGAACGGAAAGCATTGAAAAGTCATGCAATAAATCTTGAAAATAACAAAATTATTATTGGCACGAGTACAGCGCAATAGAAGCATAATAAAACAGCGACAAAATAAACACCAATAGCGCAGTGGCGACCATCGTAGCACCAATCGCCAGCAGCAACAGCAGCACCAGACACCATCAACAGTAGCACTAGCAAAAGCAGAAACACCAGCACTAGCAAACACAAGAAGGCACCATCACCACCAGCAGCAATTCCGTCAGGACCGCAGCAGTGCAAGCACCGTAACGAAGAGATGCAATAAAAGCAAAACGATGCGTGGGCCTGAGACGTGATCGTGAGACGATGAATTTCAGCCACGCGTGCCTTTGAGAACACAACAAGATGTTCATTAATTCCTTTCGCCTGTACGCAGGTTCTACAGTTCGCACAAAACTCACGTAATAATTCATTTCGATGAAAGTCGCTTTCTCTTGCTCTGATTTGAGAAATTCTCATACTTGCATGTTAATTTCAGTCTAGATTATTAGCAAACTTCATACATAAGCGCGCAGTAGCTGACAAGATCAAAATTAAAAACAGAAAATATAGAGGTTTTATGTCCATTGTAGCTACATTTATTTCAAATTATCTACGAATTCTACATGAATGTGAGCCACGAACTGGTGGTATCGACAAATTTCCGAATTTATACTTCAAGGTTATTATGTATGCATAAAGGTATTCACATTTTTTTTATTTCAGCAATGTCCTCAGGATATAAATATATTTGAAAGACAACGTCTAAAAAACGAACGCCTTGTAATATGTTGCAACGAGCACAGATTATAACGTCGCAAACGCCGCGCAGCTATGGAAAAATATATGTTCAGATTTGAAAGGTTAGATATCGGGTTCGATAGTTGAAATATCGAACCCGGTGGAAGTCTAGTAGCGCTATTTCAAACTATCGTCAGTCATGAAAAGATCCGGTCAAATGACACGCTTTTTAGATCTTCTGTGAACAAGGCACGAAAAGGAAAAGAATCGGCGACAGGCCACATCAGGCCTACACTTCAGCGCCGACATCACTATGTTATGTTATTAGTTATTACGCGTCGGAGCAAAGGAAGCTTCAGCGCTGGATGGCTGGAGTGCATGAGAACCCGCCGGCCGGATAGCTCAGCGCCCTGAGAAAATGCGGCCGCGCGGCAGTTGCCGGGCCTGAGCTGCTTCCGCTTGCGGGGGTTGACTTCTCGGTTACGTAGCTTCCCAAGACTTCTAGTTTGCATAATATGTATTTTTGCAACTAAAATTTCCCAATAAGTTAAAATTGAGAAACACATTCAATTATCTCATTCATAACAGGAACTCTATTTTAAATTAAATAACAAAGTGTTCGAAAAGTTCATTAGAAAAAAAAATATAACTCGGTACTCACTGCAATGAGTGACAGAGAGCGCATTTTCTTGTCGACGAAAACGTGAAGTCACGGACGGACAGACAGACGGACAGGCATGAGGAGCACAATAGGGCATTTTTCCATAAATGTGAAATTTCGCTAAGAAGCCAGGACTGCTTGATCCCTGTCTATATTCGTTAAAAATGTTTAATTTTGACCCAAATCACATCATGAACTCTCTTGGATCCGAGAAAACACGTAATTCTGATGCAGTGCTTGAGCATATTGTGAGGCAGGCGTGACTGACACGCGGTCACTTCAGACCGTAAGTCTCGTTACGGAGCACAGCTTCAGATCGCTGCATCCTTCCTCACACCTTCTCTTGTGTGATGACTTGACGGACCGAAGTACGGTTGGTCAAACGATGATCGTCCGGTAGCTTCCATCCGGAACTTATATTATTATTAACATTTCTCAAGTATTACAGTATGTCATCAAGATACGTGAGAAATGAAGAAAGGCCAAGATTGGCAGTAAGTTGGAAAGTGGACAGAATTTTTCTAAGCTTGCTTTGAATTAATAAACGCAAGTAAAAAAATTCCAATATGAGCAGAAGGTTGGATCTTGAACAGAATTTTTACGTCGATAACTTTAATTCAATTAATTTAAACAAGAAACAAAATACTAAGATGGGCAGGAAGTTGTTACAGAAGTTCCGTCATCATCAGGTTGATACCTAAAAATTATACAGCACTGAAAGCAAAATGATTCAGTCGCAAAATGAGTTACCCATATTAACGTCAAATACGCACGTAAAAAAGTCGAGTCACTCTGTAAGCTCGTCAAAATTGACTTGTGCAGAAAATATAAAGATTCGAAAATTCGGACGTCGGCACGTCGCACTTATTAGAACTATCGGATCCCAGATATATAAATAAGTTATGTTTAAATGCGAGTCCTCCGTCCATGACTAAGTATGAGACTCGATTCTTGCTTCAAAGGCACGCGTGAATAATAATCTACCGTAACTACCGATATTCACATGGTAGATTTTATTTGAGAACAGAAGACGATCGTTCGTCCGTTGGTGCCTTATACTGTAACGGAAACACGGACTGTTGTTTGGATGTTATATTTCCCGCACCAAGCTGTTTGGTAATCGAAAGCCATTTAACGATGATCGTTGAATAAATTTGATATAGTGGAAAACGCATCGATTATGTAAAATTTAGCAAATTCTTCTTAAACCCTTCAAATAAGTCGGAAACAAATCATTTTAGGTGACAAGTTTCAAACACCAGAATTCACGACTTGGCTGAAGCATCCTAAAATACTATCCACGATTTTTTTTCTATCGTTTTTATTAGCTTCTGATTATCATGTTTTGCAGTCTTTGTATCATAAATATACTAAATCACGAACACGGCTTACTAACCTCATAGGCCATATCACCTACGATCAAAGAAAGTAAAAATGTTGCAAGAAACCTACGCTCGGTCAGAATTCCCAATACGTCTCAGAGCAAAATCTGCGATTATCAAACCACTGCATCAACCGTCCCAATTTCATTGCCGCAATATATTTTCAAGGGACTTTTTGTGCCCCATTTCATTCAGGTTCGCAGTTTTTACTTTCTTTAATATTTTCATGCAGTTTTTGTTATAGGACAGCGGATGCTCGACGACCGCCAGTGCGTGCGTGGTCACGGTAAGCGTAACGGAACAGGAGAGGATACTTCACCATGAACATCACGTACTCCTGTAGATCATGGATCCGCAACCTGCGGCCGTGGCCGCGGGAACGAACTTTTCATAAGCCGAATTAATTAAATCAAACACAGAAATAAATCATAACAAAAATGACGGGGAATTCCATCAGCTACGCAATGAGCTGGCCCGTATTCTGCACAGCACCTAAAAACAACATCCAAACGCACGAAATCATCTTCAAGCCCAAAGTGGTTCGTTGGTAATTATTAGTCATCATGGAATAATACTAACTAGTAAAAAAGCAGTTATTTAGCATGCATCCTCAAACACTAACTTAGAGAAACTTGAGCCCCTGAGGTGACATTCTTCGCGTCCCTCAACCTAATTGAATAAGAAAGCAGGTTATTGGACATCAGTGGGAAGCCTCGGCGAGTTAGGTGTCCAGTCGCAGTCTAATTATAACAGGTGTTGCGCCACAGGAGACTAGGCGAGCACGACTTCGGAGACCGGGTCTCTGTGCTTGTCAAGAAATCTTCTTCACATAATCAATCATTGTTTTGAAAGTTTCTGTACTAGGTTGCCTACTTCCAGTACGCTAATGCCGACCTGGAACTTTTTTAAATTTTTCCACACTATGCACGCAGCGCATCGATAGTATAGGAAAAAAATTCTACATGATACTGTCATTTCTTGGCCGATCAATAACTTACTTTTGTAATGTATTGAAAAAACATGTAGATGTATTTTTACCGAAATATTATTTGAATGCTTAGGCGTTGAAATTGCAGTTAGCCTAATCTGCATCTAATCTTGGAATCAATGTGCTTAATCAAGCGAATGATATCTTCTTTTAGCATCGTCTGCGTTGATGGCTGTCTTGGTTTTCATATATGGAATCCGAAATTTGGATTCCACGTAAATTTTGGAATTTCGATTCCATATTTGGAATTTTGTGCTAACAGGAACTCTTAAGACTACTTGTAAACTAATCGATTGCAATTCTGTCCTCTAACTTTATATCGTCCATTTGCTGAGCAGCCATTGAAACATCTTTCCTATCCCGTAATTGTACCATCAATTCTGGGAAGATCGCCATCCTTATCGGTCGCTATTCAGCGACCGCAATCCTAACGAAACTTCATGCATTGATAATTTCGTCCACAAGCGTGAATATAAACGATTTTCTTCATTGCACCGCATGCAACAATAAAGCTCGAAATTCAATCTCTTCAGGGGATTGACAACTTTTTCAGGCGTTCAGAAATCATTTCCATTTGTGATGACCAGATCTACATAGCCGAGGAATGGCTGGAACGTGCAGTCTGCATTCAATTCTTGGTCTGCACAATTCGACAATTTATTTATATTCAACATAGCCAAGTTCAACAATTTCTCACGCTTCATTTGTCTCGAGACTCTTAGAAAGCGATCTAAAGCTCCTTTTATTTTCCAGGTATATGGAGATAGGGAGAAGGGGCGTAAAAGTTAGGATACGAGTTGCTAAAAAACGCTCGAGTAGGTAACACGTTTAAATTTAGTCTCGGTACGACGACAAAAAGAAGACAATAATTTTACGAAGTAAGTAAACGGGTGATGCGATTGCAAGAAAAGTTGTGCCGTAATTCTCTTTCAACTGAACAGTACAAAAACAAAAGTATGAATATATACACGATTTTTACAAGAAACGAAACCCAATGATAGTTTAACATACAATGATAATTAGAGTAGTTCTCAGTTCTCACCTTAAGCTGTGCCGTGCTTCTCTGCGGGGATCGGTGACTCTCGAAACATGATTGTTTGGAAGCAAACTGAAAGTGCACTACCGTAGTGCAGCACGTGGTAGAGGTCACTTTTCAGTTTACCATAATTTGCTCCGCAATCAGGATATTTACTAATTTTTCATGTCAGATTTTTAAAGGCTAAAGATAGGTGGGAAAATAATGCAGTACGTATGGAATTTAACGAATTTACATAAAACCCTAATAAATATTAACTACCTAGCTAATGATAGTTCCACACTCTGTAACAAGAGAAAATTCTCAATAAATGAATGCCAGATTTACATACCCGCAATTCAAGTACCTAAAAGTAAATAGAAACGTTCTTATTCCAAAATCCAAAGGCTCCGATACCCAAAAATTATAGGATCATTCACAGTGCAAAAGGGTGGTGATGGTTTATACTAAACTTGAAGGGGATACCATTTAAAGTCAGAAAATTTTTACGACAAATGCGCATCAATTACATAGGCTACCGTGCACAACCTACAATTTAACACAACTAAAACAAATCTTCCGGCTGTTACACTTTGCCATGGGTGGTACTGTAGAACAGTCATGTCAGCACATCAAAGAGCTGGTGCACACACAACCGGCTTGATCAACAGTCCGCCACCGTCTGAGCTCGAGCGGGTAACAACTTGAGCATAGCGTTACGAAAAACTTCGTCAATAAAAAGACTAGGCTGCTTGTTTTCTGATAAATAGTTTCTGCCGCTACATAGAAACTATAAAGGAAATTTTCATTTAAAATTAATTTACTTACCTTTAACTTGATTGTACCAAAGTGAAGATATTTCGGTAAGTTTGATATTTCCTCTCCTCGAAACAACTCGCAGAATAATATTATGACGGTTTTGCAGAATAATGTAAATTCAGAATTACGTGCATGTACTTTGTACGGAATTTCGAGTATTTACCGTCATTGCACGTCATGTTCTGCAACAGATTTTTTTGCAGGGACTCGTCGCTTGCAAATGTGAAAAATATTGATATAACAATATAGAGACTTATGTTAGGAGCTCATTTGTGCATTTGTGCACTTGGTAGAAAGATATCAGCAGACTTCTTACCTTCTTTTTTCAATGGGTTACATTTTCATCAGTTATAATTAAGTAATAAACTGAATAAAATTCATTTAAACCTATTTGATTAAAATGAAAACTGTTTTTAGTAAAGAATGAATGAATGTTTGAAACAATACGTTTTCGTTGCAATCACATTATTTTTGATAAACTGTATTCGTTTCACTGCTAACATCTGTTGCAAAAACAACACATTTAAAAAACAATTCCGAAAGCTGCAAAAAATTTGCAAAACACTTCCTATTTTTACCTTGCTCCAAACTGTTCCTGCTAATGTCATTGATTTGGTTGATTTTGCCATGTTCACCTGGTCACATTCTAGTTAAAATCCAATATACAATAAACCAATGAATCGCATAAACAAATAACTTTACCTTCCTGTATGTTTGCCTACGGAGCGAAATATAACATGAATAGTGAACGTTGACTTTCCAGACCATGGTTCAACCATGTTCCAAACCTCCACCTTGCATAATATTCTCACTTGTTTAATGAAAACAAATTGAATCAAGAATAATTATAGCAATGCTGTTCAACGTCAGCATCTTGATTTGCATGAAAAATTAAACCTCTTATAAATCCCCATAGATAGGGTCTCCATCATCATCTGGGATATATTCTCTCTGGGTAGCGATGGATCAATACTTATTTCTGTATTAGAGACGCTGAGAATTTGTACGAGTATTTGGGTAAAAATTTGCTTCTCTTTGCTAATTTTTAGCATCCAAATATTAGTTATTTGCTGAGAGTCATTTAGAGTAAATCGATTACTGATTTACCGGCCATTTTAGCCGGTATCTGCCTTCAGGAAATGAGTCTATAATATAGTTATAATAAAATAAATTGTCATACAAAATTGTCGTCATCTATTTGGTATATTCTAAAATTATTGAGACTTGTCTCTGTTACTAGTTGCGTCGGGCTGGTGCAGTGTAGAATCTAATTGCCGCGAATTTCGATTCTGCGAAACAGGTGACAATTCACCTCAAATATTTAAGCAACATCTTAACGATAATATTTTCTCTAAATTAAATCTTATGCCTCCACAATCGAGGAATTTTTTTGCCGCGGTAGGACGTCATGTGGCATCCGTTCAATGCCCATGCTCATCAGTTTGTGCAATGGATGTCGGACTGATAGTGATTTCCGTTGAGTTTTATTTCTTTGTTGTTGTTTTCTGTTGAGTTAGATTTTTATAGTAAGAAAATAGAAGATAGTGATGGAACAATTGTATTCATTTACTCAGCAAGATGTATCGACGAACAATATAGTTGAATTTTATTTATTCATATAATTGACAACAGCTATATTTCACAAACTATAACAAAATTACGCTTTTGTGACCGGCTATAATTAACCAATAAAACATTGTTTAATATGATATTAATCCTTCCGGCATTGAATGAATCCATTATAATATAAATTCATTGAATGAAATGTGGAAAAATTGCTGTTTACTGATTTAAGTGGCAGTTTTATGTTACAACTATGAACAGGCTACTCACACTATACATTCTTTGAAGGATCCAGCGAGGGCATTGACATCGAAAGCGTTAGAAATCAGTTCGTAATTAACGTTTGACTTGGGGCTACTAGAAACGCTACGTGAAATACACATTACTCACGAAAAACATTTCATGCGGCAAACACAAGTCTTTCTCGAGGTCAAGTTGGTATTTGTCTATGAAATCGAAGCTCGCGTTTTTGCATAATTATGGCTTAGGTGGAGACCGCAACTTGACTTAACTAGTGAAGAAGTTATTTAGGTAAAGACATTTTTTTTTGCTACACTTAGGAAAATGAATGGATCATATTGTCCAAATAATGACCCTTTTTAGCGCATTTTCTCATTTCTTGAAAAAATGCAATATTGTGCTCACCATGTCCGTCTGTCTGTCCGTCCGTCCGTCCGTGACCTCAAGTTTTCGTCGACGAGAAAATGTGCTCTCTGTCACTCACTGCAATGAGTACTGAGTTATATTTTTTTACCCACTGCGCGAACATAGGGCGGTCGTAGTACTGATACGCCCTTTCGTCGGGCCAGGATGACCCAGACAAGGACAGAAAAAGTGCATCGCTTTTTGGACAATAAGTCACTTATTTTTACGAGTGTACGGTGAGTCGTACAACGTTCAGCAGATATTGAGTTGTGGGCTGTTGGCCCCCGCAGCTAATATATTCTGGCCGCGGTTCGGCCATGTGACTTGTGCCAGCTGAACTGCAGGGAGCAGTTACTGGCTGGCCAGAACTGAGGAAAAAACGGGATCTTTTTTTTAAATTGCATTGGAAGCTTTTGTTTACCTTAATGAAATTTCTAGTGATGAAATTTTCATAAATATAAAGCAGTGTATTTTAAGCAGCGTTGCAATATTTCAAAACCTAATAGGCACTAATCTACGCATTTCACTTTGTTGTTGGATGAAAACATTAATTAATGCCATTAAATTATCTCCATGCTATGCTAAGAAATTATAAGTTATTGCCAAAAATCGTGTGATATCTTTTGTTAAAAGCATTCATTTATTAAGGATTGCAAATCTTTAACATTCAATCTAGGGTAGTGCATGGTTGAACTATATATGTATCTAATAGTAATAGTTCAACCATGGGGTAGTGTGCGTCGACAACATTCATACTTTTTTCTAGCTCACAAAAATATTATTTTTTTTATTAATATTATGACGTCATCAAATCAAAAAACAAGGTCATTAACCAAGGTCATTGACATCTACTGCGTTAGAGAGTTCGTACTTGACGATTAACTTGGGCTACTTGAAACGCTAAGTGAGATACAAAACATTCTTAACGAAGAACAATTCCTCAGACAAACATTGATGTTCAAACTATTATTGCTTTCTCGCAAACATTTATTATCAACAAAATTTCAACATCCACTTTCAGGTTGCACTAAAGCATTTTTTAGAGCATCAGCAACACGCGGTTGAAGCCGTGGCTCGGCTCGTGCACGGACAGGATATGCCTTGGCGTGAAATATTGAAGTCTTCGACACATGACACTAGCCATCGACCTCTGAAGCTCACCACGTGAACGCTGCACAGGTGTCAGTTGTGGCTAACTGTTCACTAATGATGAAGTCACTAGTCACTGCTTTCATTTATATAAATGAATCAGTGTGAATGAGTAATCCTGAGCATTTAATTACGCAAAAGCTTGAATAGAAATTGTTATGGGCAGATCAAAACTTTTGTCTATAACTTAATTATTAGTTCTTCATTGAGACTTGACAAACTAATAGTTTTACGTAGACTCGGTGTTGGAATGAAACATTGCCCGACATGTAGAAAAAATGAGTCTTTTTTTTACCACACTTCTTTTCAACTTCACTTCTTGTTGTTTTTCAGTCTGATACAAATCTTATAATCGAAATTAAACACACTTCTACCTGTCCAATCGATCTGAAATTTCGCACACTTACGCAAAGTCGGAGACAATGCATATTAATTGACAGAAAAAAATAATTTAAATATATTTTTTTATTATTCAAAACTGAAATAAGAAATTCATTGTACATGTGTAAAATCGGAGATACCGGCCTCTTTAGAAGTTTTTTTAAGGTAATTTTTAAAGGCATATTTAATTAGAATGAAAAATCTTTTCATCCGTTTCCAATGGTAAAAGTTGCGCATTTCTATTTTAATATAAAAACTACTTTACTTAAGATGGCAAAAATTCACGTCGCTCAAGTCGTTATTAGCCATTTCTCAGATTTACCTGAAACATCAATTGAGGATAATAGAAATTGGAGACGAAATTCACTCCATTTAATTACATATCCATCGACACAAAAAATTCTGCTTAGTTCTCAATTACATCTTAGCTACACTTCGCCTGCGGCAGTTTTCTCCTCCCCTTCCTCCTGCTCCGCAGCGGCAGCTTTTTCAGCCATCAACTTCATCTTCCTTTTGCCCACGTTAAGTTTTTGCCACTGAGAACCAAGCCTCAGCGCGTGATTCCTTTCAGTCTCGACAGCCGCTGCCTCCTCGAGCAAGTCCATGTCTTCACCAGCGTCGACTTTGTAGTCGTTGCGGTAAAGTTCACGGTATTCGCCCCACGCATCGCGCTCCTTCTTTATTTCTTGCCGGCGCCATGAAGGAATGTCTAGTCGAATGGGATGAGCGCTCGGGAATGGCAGGCGCG